CAGTCACCTACAAAGGAGTTCCCATCAGACTGTCAGCTGATTTCTCAAAAGGGACCTTCCAGGGAAGAAGGGGCTGGAAAGAAGTATTCCAAGTCATGAAAGGCAAGGACCTACATCCGAGATTGCTCTATCCAGCAAAGCTTTCATTTAGAATGGAAGGACAGATAAAGCACTTCTCAGATAAGGTCAAATTCAAGGAGTTCATCATCACCAAGCCCTTATTATATGAAATGTTAAAGGGACTTATCTAAGAAAAAGAAGATAAAAAATATGAACAGTGGAAGGACAGCAAACTCACAGTTATTAACAATCACACCTAAAACAAAAGTAAATTAAGAGTACAGGTAGATCAGGAGGAGCAGAACCATAGAAATGGAGATCACATGGAAGGTTAGTGGGAGTGGGAGGAGGAGAAGGAAAACAGGGCAGTGGGAGGAGGAGAAGGAAAGAGAAGGTACAGAGAATAAGTAGCATAGATGGTAGGTAGAAAATAGGCAGGGGGGAGGGCAAGAATACTATGGGAAATATAGAATCTAAAGAACTTGTGACACATGGACATAAACTAAAGGGGGAGAATGGAGGGTGGAGGGGAATGAGGGGGGAGAAATGGGACAACTGTAATGGCATAATCAATAAAATATATATATTTTAAAAGTTCAACAAGTGTATGCTAGGCACTGTAGTAGGCAATGGAGATAGAAAGGAAAGAAAGTCCCAACCTCAAGCAATTCAGTTAAGATTTCCAGAAAGCTTGTAATCATCAAATCTAAATGACTCTTCCTGATCCTCTCATGTCTTCAACCCTCCAAAGAATTGCATGATCATGATCATCTTAAACTTCTTTATGCCTCTGGTCCTCTGCACCTTATAGGGAGTGAAGGTGGGAAAGGAGCAAGCAAAATGAATGACAATGATTAGAGAGATGAGAAAAGAACCTGAAGAGTGTGGTCTAGATAAAAGAAATGAAATGAGAAGCAACCCTTAACACATACATGTGTTCACATGTGTGCACACATACACATCTGCTTTTCAGTCTAGATGTGGCCTTCAGACCACCAGTGTACTAGCTCAGCACTATGGATCTCTTAACTGGCCCTCTGACTTCCCCTTTCTTGTGTCAGTAGCTCTTGTCTCCCATCTATTCTTCATGATGTTGTATTTAGTCATCACTTATTTGAAAACCTTTAGTGGTCTCTGCTATTTCCCAAAGTACAAACTCCTTACCCTCCCAGGGACTTCTACTGGATGGCCCCAGATCTCCTCCTTTTCCCCATACTCTAGCCACACATCACTGGCTACCCCCATAAACACTTTGCAATGTTTCCAGCCTTCCGTCTGCTATGTGAAGGGTCAGAGTCTTACCTCTGCCTGAAATTCCACTTCCTCTACAATCCCCACCCAATGGAAATGATAACCAACCTTGAAGGCCCAACCTATGACTATCAATCCCATGCAGGCTTTTTCAGTCTGAGTTGGATGTGGTATCCAATGGACTTCCACTGCATTTCTCTTATAGTGCCAAATGTACACTCTCCTATATTGGGGCCATACATGCTTGTCATCACTTCTGTCACATCCCTGAATAGGACCAAGTATTATTCATCCTGTAGTACTCCTTACCTGCCATCACCACTCCCCCAACACCACCCAAAACAGTTCTTTGAAATTAAATCAATTTATGAAACAGTTACACATGTTGACTTAAATACCAGGGACTGATATTTCAAAAGCCATGTCAGTAGCTGGTCTGTTTTTAATCTGTATCTTGTATTGTTTTGGTGTATAGTTTAACTTTTTTAAAGATTACTTTTAGTGGTTAAAACTTACAGAATTTACTGTTCCAATACTTTGTTTGAGCAATTCACATTTGTTTTTCCAGTTTGTCACTTTATTGACTTCCTAAAGGAAGAACTAGGGATTCCTAGCACAGATACAAAAAAAGAAAGCAAAGTATCATAGATTTGAGAAATCAAACCCTCCATGGACCACTCCAATGACAGCAACCTGGCTTTGGTGCTAGATCCATAATTTCTAGAAATCCATCCCATCTGTTTTCCTATAATGGATTCCCCCTTCATTTTCTACTAAACCCAAGATCAGTAAGAAAACTATCATTATACAACTCCCATATAGAAGTTATTATGCTGAGGTTAGAGAGATTAAAAAAAAAACCTGTGATCCCAGCTTGATAAGGAAGGATGGGTAATTGCTACATAATTATTATATAAGGCAAACTGAGATAAGTGCTCTAATAGAAGGACCTGCCATGTCTAACAAGTGACAGGTGAGATGAACTACCATCATGGGAATACACAAAATGTGGAAAAAGGACCTAGGACTGAACAAAATGATGGAGGATGGGCTTTAAAGAGACAAGAGGAGTGTAGGTGAAGGGGACAGGAAAACCAAAGGCTCTAAGTCAAAAAAACTTCTATGTATACCAGAGGAGCATAGAGTGGTTCTGTGTGGTTGGTGTATAGGGTATAAATCATAGGAAGTCCCTGAAAATTTTTTTGTGGGGTGTGGGACACAGAATGACATGATCACTCCTTATGAGAAGAAAGGGAGGGAAAGAATAAGAAAGTTGACTTCAAGTTCTCAAATTTGAGCAATTGAGCATTATCCAAATTGAGGGACATGTAGAGTAAAGAGTAGGTCTGTTGAAATGGGAAAAGGTTAGGGAGACAATGAGCTTGTGATCCTCATGAACTTCCAGAGGAAGATGCTTGAGAGTTAGGCTTATTAGATTTACTTAAGGTGAATATTAGGGTTAGATTTAGAAATCACCCATACATAAATGGCAACTTAAGCTATGGGACTAAATGAACCATCAAAGCAAAGAAAGTAACATGAGAAGAGGGCTGATAGGGTATCACTGATAAGATGCTTATATTCAAGGAAAACACAGAATTAGTGGGGACTGAAAAGCAATAGATGAGATGGTAGAGGAATACAGAAACCGAAAACAGGTGCTCAAAATGATTGAATGCCTGGGAGACAGCAGAATTAAGATTGAAGTGAGACACTAGATTTGACCAGGAAAAGGTCATGAGTTGCAAGAAGGTACCTCCAATAAAGCTGGACAGTGGAATGGGTTAGAGGAATGAATGAACTGCAGATAAGCCCAGAATATTCTTTCCAGAAGACCGAATTGAAGTGAGAGATGGAATAGTAGTTTAGGGAAAAGCTGGCCTAATACTTGACTTTATTAGGGGAGTAAACCCTAAGAGGCAGAAGATACCAGAGAGAGGGTAGGGGTGATGGAGCAAGATCTTGTATATGGACTGGGGCCTCAGTTTCTTCAAACTTATGTGCATCAGTCTTTAAATTTCTGATAATTTAGGGCCAAAAATGTAAAACCCAAGACAGAACACTTTCCCTAACTGAATTTTCCTGGGTTAGATCTACATTCTCACTTTTATAATAATTCAAAGATATGGTACCATTAAGCTTTTTATCCTAAGAGTTAAAAATATTTAATATTGCGCCCTGGCTGGTGTAGCTCAGTGGATTGAGTGTGGGCCTGTGAACCAGAGGATCTCGGTTCAATTCCCAGTCAGGGCACATGCCTGGGTTGCAGGCCAGTTCCCAATGGGGGACGCATGAAAGGCAACCATACATTGATATTTCTCTCCCTCTCTCCTTCCCTTCCCCTATAAAGATAAATAAAATCTTTAAAAAAATTTAACATTGAAATATCTTTTAACTCACATATAATCAAAAACTGAGAAAAAGGTGAAAATGTATTCAATTCTATAATTGCATTTAATCATTACGTATGAATCTATAATCAATACATGACTCATGATGAGTACTTTATATCCTTCTAGGCCTCTGAAGTGTCTGTGTAATTGTCCTTTTTATCAACCATGGATTTCCTTTGACTGAAACAAGTGTTAATGAAAATTGGGAAGAGAGAAGGCTTTTTCTTGCTAGAAAAAAGTCTGAGGCATTTATTGCAAATTAATTTAATCAAAAGACAGCTGTAGGAAGAAGGGCTACATTACAAAGCAGCTCTTCTACTTAATGATCTCATTTATCAACTTCAGTGTAGTCAACAACATATTTATCCTACAATAAAAATAAAGGCATGTGTGTATGTGTGTGTGTGTGTGTGTATGTAAAATTTCCTTTCTTACCCCTTAGAAGGTATGTGCCTCCATATTTGTTTAGAGTCAAGAAGAGGAGAGGGGTAAGAACTTGTGAACAAGGCATGACAGGAAAAAAAGGCAAAACTAAGGCAGAATGCAAAGATTATTTTAAGAGCAAGATGCACAGAAAGCTTTATTTCAGTTATGTGGTAAAACAAAGTTGGATTGCTCAGTTTGGTGAACAGGAAGGAAAAGTTCTAGGTATACACAGTCCAAATCTTGTTATAGATGAAGTTATAGATTATAAGTAAATGCAGATACATGTGTCCCGTCCCACCAAATATACATTAAACACTATCAATTGACATTTAAAGTGATATTCCTTTAAAAAATAAATAAATAAATCTGCCTTATTCAGACCTGTACAATATATCTGAATTTTAGAAGTGTGCTTGCTTAAATGGCATTTAGGCTCAGACTTGTTCCCATTTATAACTAGTGACACAAAAGCCTGACATGCATCACTTGTTAGCTCCCAAGTTGAGAGCCAACAACCTCTGGCATGTGACTTCACAGCACTAAGGTTAGCATGGCCCACTTCACAACCTTATACTTTTACAGTGAGCTGGCCAAGACCGAGAACATACCCAGGGGCGTAAGAGCACAGGTGGCTCCAGGTGAAGCTCCCAGGCTCACTCGGGGTTCCCACGCATCTTGAGGCCTGCACTACAGGCACCTGGGGTGAGACTTCCACACAGACCAGCAGGCCTACTCCCCTCTGGGAATGGTTCAATCACCTTTAAGAAACATCCTTGCATACACATCACACTGGGCAGTGCAGTACAGACAGTATGTGAAAGAGGAAACACCCAAGAAACTTCCAACACTGAGAAGAACCCTAGAATTTACCAGACTATGGGCCAGGGGAAAGGCATATCTTGTGAGGATCTCAAACATATCTCTTCTGCTGTGGCCTTCTTGTTTCAGTGCAAACCTCAGGTTTCTCATGTCCTGGGGGCAGGAAATTTGACAGATCAGTTTCCAAGTAAAGTCACATTTGTTAGCTAAAAATCTTCTATTCACCTAAGGAAGTAGAAGATTCACTTACCTAAAAGGGCAATTCATCTAGATTACTAAGAAACTTACTTTGTGTGGTATGATATTTTGAACTATTCAGTTAAAAAACTCCTAAAAATATTCACATTGTAGTTATGAATATAAAAACAAAGCATCTAGTGCTAAAGAACAGAGCTAAAATTCATTTGATAAAAATATAAAGGAAATCTTGCCTTATACATCATCTGCTGTGCCTATTTACTTTAACTGGTTTCTGGGGTATTTGTAATTATAAAATTATGTTTTATTCACAGAACTTTTCAAATATATATATGCTATCAAATATAACCTCAAAATTGCCAAACATGTCATTAAAATACAGAAGCTTTTTCCCTCACCCCTCATAATTTTAAAGTCTTATTTTTAAAAATTAGGAAATGCTTGACATTTTAAGCTGTCATATAACATTAAAAATGCTGTGCATTACATGTATCCATACATGTAAAGTATGGATACATACATTACAACCCAAAAGTTGTAATACACAACTTTTATTTTCGGAGTTCCATATAACCACATTAAAGTGTCTCATATTAGGAGTGACTACACTTCCAGGAACAACAAATTATTGATAAAAACCATATTTTAAGGGCAGCTTCTGTTACCTATCTCTTTAATAAGCAGGAAACTCTTCCTTTAAACCAAATCTAAACAAAATAAACTCCCTTAAGTATCAATTTGTATTATATATCAAATTAATGTTCTATCTCATTTTCAAAGCTAGAGTTCTGGCTCTTAATCACGGCACTAAGAATGTTATATTGTGCACCACATGTTCATTAAAAAAAAAAGTGCTATACTGGACCCCAGGGATACAGAGACTCAGGAGTGAGAAAGATCCAGTCCCTGCTCTTTTGGATGTCATCATCTTCATATTTTTCAAAGTGCTTTTTAATTTATTATCTCGAGAGCACTCTTAAAATGTTCTAAGTGTTTGATGTGAAGGACCAGCAAAGGCATTGCCATCTAAAACCCCAAATGCAAATAGCGGCAAAGGAAGTATATAGAACCAGACTCTAAGAATGCTAATAAATGACCCATGATTGATCATTCTATATGCAGACGGCTTCTACTGGGCCTTGCCAACTCTAGGATTTTGTGCTTTTATTTTGAAAAGCATGTAACTGAATAAAATCCAAAAACTGTTTCACAACATAGTCCAAGAAAACTGAAATATTAGTTGTGTGTGGCTATTGTCTTTGAATTCAACGTTAATTCCAAGAAATATGGATGTAATATTTGAGATTATACCAGCTGAGGTATTCCTAGCCCCTTGTTCCTATAATAAACAGTCAAAGGATAAGAATGTGCTTTTTCTTATTAACTTTGAGTGATTCACATTTAAGTTTTTCCTACTGACAAGGCAACAAACAGAATTTGTTAAAATTCTATTACAATTAAAGTCACTTCAAAATCATCAAAATAGCAACCCATTTCCCCTTAAGTACTGTAATATCTGTAATATAACACTGTACTCCCATGGATCCTCTTATGTGAAATGCAAAAACTTTCCTTAAAAGTAAATCCACATATTTCTAGGCCTTGAAGGGTAGACTGTAGCTGGAATCATGGACAAGGTATAAGGTAGATGGATTAAAACAAACAAACAAAAAAGGGTAAGGTGGGGAGCAATGGAGAATTTTAGTTCAAGTCTAAATATGACATAATCATTTGGTTTTTGATAGAGTGTAGTAGTCTTGATCTTTTATAATTCAGAGACAAAAATACTGCATTGTGTTCATAACCCAAACAAAACTATAAGAGGTTGGTTTGAGATGGTTTTAAGAAATCACAGTGAATGAGACTAGGGAAAGGAGACTTGGGTTTTCATTGTGGCTCTTCTACCAGCTCCTTGGGCAACCCAATGCAAGTAATTCTGTTTAGCAGAAGCTTCATTTTCCCATCCATAGAATGAAGGACTGGCCCAGAGTCACCAAACTTCAGCCCAGGTCAGTCTTTGTGGTCTTCAACCTAAGAATGTTTTTTATATTTTAAAAGGTTAAAAAACAAAACACAACACAGAGCTGTACACATGATGGAGATGCTATTGGTCCACAAAGCCTAAAATATGTGCTATCTGGCCCTTTATGGAAAAAAAAATTGCTGACTCTTGTACACTAGATTGATGGTTAAGAGTCACCAGAGACACTTGAAAGAGTACCAGCATTCTGAGACCCCAGATTCCGAGATTACAGTAGGATTTGGGGTAGAACTCGGAGATCTATAATTTAAAGAAGTTTTCGGTTTACCCCACACACATCTAAGTGTAAGATCCACTGAAACAGATGACTTCCACACCCATCTAGCTCTTTCTAGTATTGGCATTTTTCTACAGATTATGGTGTTCTGATAATACCTTGAAAATAAGCTTTCTTGACAGAGGGTTTATTTTGTTGTTTGCAAAAAGATTTCCTTACTGTATTTGGATTCCAACTTTGTCATTTGTTGGGTAATCTTAGCTAAGTTACCTAACTCTTTTTATCCTTAGACTTCCCAACTATAAAATGGAGATGCCACTCTCCATCTCAGAACTTTGCCCTGAGTACTGAATGCAAATCACCTGGCATGTGTTTGGACTGACATGGATGCTCAATAGATGACTACTATTATAACTGATTAAATTTTATTATTATTAAAGCTCGGCCAGCCACCATGCCAAAACAAAATGTTAAGCCACCACCTCCAAAAACTAGCCGTGAAAAAGTTAGAAAGGTTGTTAGAGGTAAGAAGATATCCTGTTAACACAGGGCACAATCTCCTGTACGTCTCCTTCTTTTCACAGTGTAGAGGAATCTAGTTGGTAACACATCACATGAAGGGACACTAGAGGCAGACTTGGACAAAAACTAAACGTGAAATTTTACTTATAAAATTTTCTTCCTGTATAATCAAGCTATCAAAATAATCAATTCAAGTCCTCACACTTGGTGACAACAGTGGGTCCCTTTTATAGGATCATTTCCCTAATTTGGAAAGCTTGATCATGAGGGAAAAACAAGGGTCTTTGATTTTCTTTAACCCACTTAACTTTTACCTATCATTCAACACCAAAGTGCCTTTTTTTTTCACATAAGAAAGTACTGAATCTCTTACTTTACAAGTAATATCTAGACCATAGGAATTCTCTCCTCTACTTGTTGCGCCTCCCATTTTTTCAATTCTTGAGATCACTCCCAGAGGAACATCAAGTATTGGAGCAGAATCCTGTAATGGACAAAAATACAAAAGTCAGTATTTCTGTCAGTATAATTAAAACATTGAAAACAATTTTAAAACAACCATACACGTTCAGGGTGTTTTTACCTTTGCCCTTTTACCACTTTTTGTAATAAAAAATATGATATAATGTAGATCACACATGGAAGAGCAAGCATTTTAAAAGAGTCACTTACGCAGCCAAAATGCATCCCCAAACATGTGACATTCTGCACTGCCTACACAATGAAGACTAAACTCCTAGGTACACAATTCAAGGGCTGCATCTTCAACTTCAGCTACATCTTCATCTTCAGCTACAAAGATGAAGGAACTATGGATACCTGCAATCACCTGGAAAAATCTTAAGGGCATTGTGCTGAGTGGATAAAGGGCCCACAATGTTGCTTCCAGCCTGTCTCTACAGGCTTCTATTCCGTGGCATTCTGTGCTCCAATTAAGTGAATGTCTTAGCCGTTCTTCAAATATTTCAGCTACAATCAGGCCTATGTGCTTTGTGCACAGTGTTTCCTTTGCCAAGGTTGACCTATCTTTCCCTGCTACCAATATTCTTCCTGTGGCTTAAATCTCGGTTCACCATGCATCACCTCTCACAAAGCCTTGCTTTCAAATTAGATCACATAGTACTGATCACTTCCTCCTCTGAGGCTCTAAAACACTTGATTCAGACTGCTGTTACACAACTTACTTCACTCTATCTTGTTACCATTAATTTCCATGTCTGTATTCCCCCACTAGAACCAAGCACCCAGAAGTCATGCCTATCTTAGGCATGAGAGCATTTCACAAACCAGAAGGACCTGAATATATAGCAATGCTTCTCCATCATTTCTTATCCAATGCTGACTGCAAAGGATCCATCCATAAGATTGCTGTCATGATGAAATCACATCAGTGAAGTCATTCTGCAATGCTTGCTATAAGATAACAGCAACTGCCATGTACAGAATTCCTTATCTGTGCCAGCTACTGCAACAGGGGCTTGACGTGCATCATATCATTTTATTCTCACAGCCATTCTGGATATAAGCAAAGTATTCCCATTTGTAGATGCAGCAACCAAGGCATTAAAAACCTTTAGTAACTGGCTTAGTAAATATGAGGAAGGGTTGAGATTGAAGATGAGGTCTGGGAACATACATCAAAAGTCATAAAAATAGTCCTACACTTTTGACTCTGTAACTACACTCCTAAGAACTTATATTATAGGTATTGTGCATTGGAAGTAAAAGTTGTATGGGTGAAGATGCTCAAAGGAGCCAGAAGTGAATATCAGGGTATAGAAAATTAGAGTTAATCAACTCGATGGAATTAGCATGCAGCTACTAAAATAATTATGGGACATGGAAAAATAAATTTAAATAGAAGGAAGAAGCATACATAATATACTGTGACTACAACAATGTAAAATATATATTCCTATGGTCAAAGATAGGAAAGGCTATACAATGTTTTAAATCAACTATTTTCCTTAACATTGTTAGATGACTTTGATAATAAAAGGAAAAAATTTTAAAGTACTTATTAAACTTTTGTTCTTTAAAAGATGTCCTTTTGGGGGATACAAATAAAACTAAGTTTTTTTCTTTTACTTTAAATCTTTCTCCTTAAAACACAATATTAAAAAAAATAAGTGTTTCCTCATAAAATGTCAAAGAGTTCACAGGCATTCCAGAAATTCAGAAAGTATAAGACTGGAGGGAGGCATCCATGCCATGGAATGCTACTCAGCTACAAAGATGAAGGAACTATGGATACATGCAATCACCTGGGAAAATCTTAAGGGCATCATGCTGAGTAGATAAAGCCAATCTCAAAAGGTCATGTGCTATATAATTCCATTTACAGCATTCTTGAAATGACAAAACTGTAGAGATGGAGAAGGGAGAACTGTTACCAGGGGTTGAAGAGTAGGAGTGTGTGACTATGAAGGGACAGGATGAAGGAGTTGGTTTGTGTTGACAGAACAGTTGGCTATCTTTACTATTGGTGGTAGTTATATAAATTTATACACGGGGTTAAATGTGATAGAATTATAGGCAAAAACATATAAAAATGAGAGCATGAAAAAAAACTGATGTAACTGTATTGTACCACTCAACTTCCTGGTTTTGATAAGGCAGTATAGTTATTACAGAAGCTAGGCCAGGCATATATAGGACCTTGTTGTACTATATATCAAAGTTCTTAAAAGTTCATAATTATGTTAAAATAAAAAGTTTAAACAGCATAAGAATATGGTTATTATGATGCAGAGGAAAGAGTACAAGCTCTTAAGTTAGACAAAAATGGTTGAAATCTGAGTTTTGACATTTATTAGCAGAATGCTTTTAGCAAGTTAGTGCATCTCTTGGCCAATTTACCTGTAAAGTAGGGATGATTAGATATAATGGACTTATATTACTTGGTATGGTGCCTGTCACATGGTAGCGAGAAAACAATGGAAGTTATTATTATAGCAAAGGATGCCTTAGTATTTGGAAGACATACTGTTTTATGCAACAATAGTGGCTCGATATGCTCTGGCATGCAGTTACAGGTCTTTCTGTTTGTACCTATAAGGAGGCATTTTTTTAGCTGTTCATGGGATAAGATACCTCACTACGTGATTGAAATCTAAATCCCTAGAGAAAAAAGACACTACTCTGTAACTGTGCACATACATAGCTGTATATTATAATGTATTTACTTCTCAATACAATCTAGTTATTAAAAACATACTATCAAGCAGTCTGTTATTATGCTTAGATTATACTGAGATTTATAAGTATCTGTTCTACTGTATTCCTAAATGCCCAGCTTATACTTAAAAATGCTAGAGTAGACACTAAATAAAAGTCTGATACTATAACAACATGGAAGCAAGAATACAAACAAAGCAGAAGAATTAAAAGTTCGATGAGACCTTGCTGTTCTTTGTCTCTGTATAGAGGAAATTCTGTAACTCTGATTGCCCTGACCCAACAGAAAACAGAAAATGGCACAGTGAGAAGAACCAGCCAGCTCCTGATGAAGGGCACCCACAGTCTAATGAAGCTACATGCCATGTTCTCCCTGAATGACAGGTTCAAAGTCGAATAACCCAGCAAGCCAAACTGGAAGATCCGTGAATAGGAAAATTAGCTTCCCTCTCTAGAAAAACTAAGTTGTCACTATCTAAACATCATTAAATACTTAAGAATTCTCAAAGGTCCATTCTAACTCAAAACTCTGTGCCTATGGCCTCTGAGTATCTAAAATAGTTAAGCAGTAAATATAACAATCTATAAAGACACATTCCTTTACTATCTTTTAAGTGTATACTGAGTAACAGAAACTGTACTGTTCCCTAGGGACCACAGAGATTAAATAAGATGCAGAAACTGCCCTCAGGGAGTTCAAGGCCTAGTCTGGGAGATAAGTAAGATACATGTACCCAAATAGCCACAATGGTAAAAATATCCAGACAAAGTGGAACTAGAAGTCATAGAAGAGCAAGATGTTTTCCTATCAATGAGGTCATATAAAGACTTTGTGGTGACGGTGACATTAATTAAAGATGATCCTTAAAAAATAGAATAATAGCAGTTAGGGATTAGCCTTCCATAAACAGGTAACAGTGACATCAGCTACACATGTGGAAAAGCATGGGATTTTATATATTTTTAAAAAGTGGCCTAGGTTTAAGATAAGGTGGCAGGAGAATTTCCAGAGGAGTACCCCAGGGCTTGGATCAGGGTAATTGTATTTTGTGGAATGCATTTTTGAAAAGAGGAATTCAATGAAATAAACCACAATGATGGTTTATGAAGATTCATTTAGAAGCTCTGAGTCCTCTCCATGAATGGGTGTAGAGGGCTAAAATTCTGTGCCTCTGTACCCCTCAGTGTCTAAATAGGTGCAGAGGGCTACATGTATTCCTTGGAATGCTGCAGGCTAATGTTTTAGTGCAAGTGAGAGGCTATGAGCATCTAAAAGTGGAGAGTGACTAGAGTGGAAAGCAAAAAATGGGTATGAGCCACTGGGGAAGAATCAAAATAACTCAGAATTACGCTCAACTATCTGGGACAATGGTGGTTCCACCAAGAGATGTGAAGAACATAAGAGGAGGTTTTGGAGGAAGATTAACGTTGTCAATTTTAGACACGCTGGGCTTGAGGTTATGATAAATTATTCAAGACCAGATATCCAAGAGGCAGCTGGAAATACAGAACTGGAAGATCCCAAAGGCCCCTCAAACTCAGAATGTCCAAAAATAAACAAGTGATGTTTCTGTCTCCAAACTACATCTTCCTATCTCTGTGACTGGCATTCCATCTATCCAGTTACCAAAGCTGGAAACATAGGAGTCATCCTTGTCATCCCCCTTCTCCATTATCCCCCCCATTATTCTTAATCCAATCTCTTAACCTCTTAAATCAAACTCAAATCTGTTAACCTCTCTCTATCTCTAACAGCAATTTCACTAGATTAGGCACAGTGGTCTCTTTGTAGCTACTATTATTCCACTTACAATCTGCCCTCCACACAACGGCCTGGGTGATCTTTTCCAAAAGTAAATTTGAGGCTATCATTCCTCTATTTAAACCACTTTTGAAGCTTCTCACTGTTCACCTCTAAACACCTAAGCCCTTAGAAGAGTCTACGAGGCCTAGGGCTTCTGATCATGCCCACCTTTCCAACTCACATCTCACTGCTCTCCTGGACCCCAATACAGCCCTGTCATTTTTCATGATCCCTATGGTTTCAGGGCCTCTCATATGCTGTTTTCTCAACTTATTCTTTCCAAACCAGCCTCTGTCCAGATCGAGGTAATTCCTACTCATTCTTCAGACTATGGGATCAAACTATTTTCTCAGAACAATTTTGCAGGCTTCTCAAACTGCTGTGCCGCTGTACTACTCCCATGTAACACTTATCACAGCTTGTTGGTACATACTGGTATGATATCCAATTAACATCTGTCAGTCCCATCAGAACTAAAGCTTTATAAGAAAGAGACTGTGTCT